CTCAATGCATCCAGCGCAGGAACTCTGGAGTGAGAAATGGTCACTCTGTCTGCATCAAGGGAGGAGGCGCTCCTTCAAAGCCCTGGGAGACCGACGCATGACTACTGCTTGGTTGTGGTTTGGTCGGCAAGCAAGCTGTGGCCCTGCGGATGCTCCTGTAAACACAAGGAAAGAGCCGAGGCCCCCATGTCCTGCTGGTGGCTTTCCAGATGTATCTGGAAATGTGCATGTATTTGGCCATTTTGGGAGGAAAGGACGGCAGACAACATGGATCTTTGGTCTTCTCCATCACTTCTTCTCCTATGCCCTTATCTGTGTGGAATCAAAAACCTTGTGCGGTCAAGAGTGGGCAAGAATGGATTCAAGGGGGAGAGAGAAGGTACTGGCAAGCTGTTGGAAGACTTTTAATAGAAGGACTAGGGCCTTGATGTGAGTGCAAAGCCAGTTGTTAGATTTGTGAACCCTTGGATTCATTCTGAAGCTTTTCTTCTTTGTCTTCCTTTGTACACACACACACAATCTCACTCACCATGTCTCTGCCCCAGTCCCTTAGGGTACTACGTCAACCCCATGACATTGATAACTGCTATTAAATTCTCAGTGTTGCTAATTAGGTACACAACACCAGAAAGCAGTTAACACTTTTAGTGTCTGTTGCAAGTTGGATCCCGAGGGGTGTTTTCTCTTCAAAAGCCTTTCTCCTGAGGGGCCAGGAAAACTAGAAAGGGCCAGCTGAGATTGGCTAAATTAACAAGATGTTGTTTGTGAAGCTTTCATTACTTTGGAATAACAGATCTTGTTTCCAGATCAAAGGTTTGACTCTGAGAGTTAGAGCAGAGATTTTCCTCTAAAACAAAAATACAAGTATAATACTATTTTTCTTTTAACCCTCCAAACGGTTTGTATTAAACATTTTGCCCAGCAAAATAACACTGAAGTAGCTGTTGAGTGTTGCTGCTTTTGGCTCTGCAAAACCAAAAAGAAAAAAATGAAAAAGAAACCCCAACAAACCCACCACTGCATATTATTCTGTGCTATTTTCATAGCCCACCTGCTAGAGTAACTAATTAACAGTCATTCTCATTAATTACATTGATCGGGATCATAAAATAATTGTAAAATTGCAGAACATGATCAGCAGGAGTAAAATGGCTTTGCTTTAATCCCATAACGACATATTTTTTGTGATTAATCAAAATAGATGTATGCAGTCATTATTTTATATTTTCCCACTTTTCCTTTCATAGAAATGCAAGTCTGGGCAATTACGCTAAGTTGATGGAAATAGAATGAGTATTTCATCTGGTGGCTAATTAAGCAAAAAGATACAATGAGTTTCAGTGACAGGCAGGTGAGGGGGGTTTGTGGCTATCTGGAGATAATCATACCTCTTAGGAGATGGCAAAGAAAAAAAGTACAATTTGGGGATGTGTGTTATTTTTATGTGCGCATGTGTGTGTGTGTACATAAGATGTTTATGTCACCTTTCAGTATAAATATCTGCACACAATAAAACAGCAGGAATAAAGCAAGATAAAAGCATTAAATGCATAAATATGATTTTAAAACTACAGCAAGAAAAAATAATCAGTTTTAATTTTTAAATGCCTGGGAAAATAACAAAAGAAGGAAAAGAAGAAAGAAATTCCAGTGCTACCCCAGGCAAGCTTTCCGGGGGAGAATTTGCCAGAAATGAAATATTATCACGGAGACATTCCTATCCTTGGTCACTGCCTGCTGCAATTCCAGCAGTGGGATAGGCTGGCCACTTGGGAATCTCCCAAGAAGGGGACACCAATTAGTATAAGATTTGCATATGCTTGTTGATGTGCCTAGATGCAAATTTAGAAATGATTATTTCTCCAAAGAAATATGGTACCCATCATCATGTCATGGAGGACTGTCCCCAGTGTGCCTTGCTTGGCCCTACTATCCAGATGTTGATGATGATCAGGAGCTTTGAGTCCTAGCCTTTCCTTCTGTCCTGTCTTTCTTTTCAAACTAGGCTCAGACTGGGAAGGTCTTGAGAGAGGATGCATTCAGAGAGAGGGTAGTTTTCTCAAAGCCCTTCAAGCAGAGGAGAGGAAACACAGCCACCTACTGATCAGGTGTGGCTTTCGATCAAGTCTTGTGCCTGCACGTGTCCCCCTCCCGCCGGCACCAGGGCTTGTAAAGGGCCCATCGTCCATCCCTGCTGTGGTGGCCTGTCTTCGGGGAGTTCAGCCTTCCCCAGTCTGAAATCCATTTCCCATCAGCCCTGGCTGCTCCTGTTGGCAAAGCTGGGAGTACGAAGGCTGAGTTCAGTAGCCCTTAGATCACTCCCTTTTTGCTTAGAGGAAACACTTTCCATTTTAGAGAGAGATAAACAGGCTGTCTTTGATCACACAAAAAAACCCAAATTATGGGCTTTAGCTGCTACAAATGTGGCCATGCATTTCACATTCCTACCATCGCTGGGTTAAAGCCAGGCGCTTTGAAACATAAATAGAGTTTTCACTGACGTTAAGCAACGGATTTTTTTTTTAAATGTGGTTAGCCTTGGCCGGCTGCTTGCTGAAAACAAAACTAGCCCAGTAGTTAAAGAGATTTGCATGACGTGTGAATTCTGTTGTTTCCTGAGACCTGAGAATCTTATCTGGGGTGCACAGCTGCTGTCGTGCCTGCAGTATTTACTGAAGACCTATCCAGGTGGCAACCTCTCCCGAGAATCCTTTAGTTAAAATACAGAAAAGGAAGGGGAATAGCACAAGATGCCCACATGGGTGTGGCATTTTCAGGTAGTTGGTTGCATCAAGTGTGCTGAACCGGCTCGTTTCTGGCATGCCAGTTTGAACCAGTGGGGACCAGCAGAAGGCTTGTGTGTCTGGAGTGGAAGCGGCATGTCTCCCCAAATCAGCACAAGTGGACCTCCTCCGCCCCTAATAGCCTCTCTCTGAAAGTAACTGCCTTCAATGTTAATGTAAAGCAGTTCCAAAACTATGTACCCATCACAACATCAGGGATTCTGAGGATTTGGACCAGGAACGGAAAAGACTCCCCTATATCAGGTCAGATAACTTGTTCATCCAGCTCAGTAGCACCAGTGTTTGTTGGCCGAAAAGGGCACCCACTGAGGCATCACTGTCGTCCCTCTAGCACAACCACTGTTCCTCTTAACAGTGCATAGTTAAAATATGGATCCTCCTTACACAAGGTGCTGTGATGGCCCCTGGCTTGGATGGCTTTATAGGGGGATTGGGCAAATCCATGGAGGATAAGGTTACACATGGCTTAACCTAATCAAGGTTTGTTGATGGCTGTGTGGCACCCCAGGATCTGGTGGAGGAGGCCTTTATCCTACCAGGAGGGTACTGTTAGACTCATGTCCTACTTGTGGGCTGCTTGGCTAATGAATGCACAGAGTGCTAGACGAAATGGGCTTGGGTGACCAAGCATGGCTTTTTATGTTCCTATGCTCCTTAATGTCTACTGCTGTTCACCTGTTCCCTCCCAGCTAGGGATGTATAAATTAGCAAAACTCAAGCTTCTAGGAGTCCTCCAGATTTCATTGTCAAGCATCTTCCATCTTGAGCCTATGTCAGATTGTGAGCTGGTTCATTCTCATTCTCTCTCTCTCTCTCCTCTTTCTGTGAAAATCCATGCATATTTTCATGCATATTTTTCCAATCATATGTATGAATTGTGTGCATCTTTGAAATGTAAACATTCTTCTCCTGTTGATAAAAGCATATTTGTGCTTACTTTTCAAAACTCTTCCTTTTAATGTTGGTTTCCCTATGTATGCACACTATTGAACGCATCTTTGGAGATGGGGGGCCATGAATCGCCTTGGAAGCTCCGAAAAGTAGGAGTCTCACATTTGTGTCTGAGCTCATTCCAGAAGGTGTAAACTGGGTAAATCCTGATCAAAAGCAAATGGAAGCAAATGTCTCATAACTCCCTCCTCCTAATATACCGAGCACCGAAAAGAACAAGGACATGGAGTGGCAGCTGTCATTCAATTTGTCCTTACCTCCCTATGTTGCTGCCACGTGTGTCCAGAGTGAGAGACAGATGGATGTGCCAGGGTAGCAGTGGATAGGAAGTTTGGGCCAACTGCGAGAGGAGTCCATGGCAGGCATTTTGTCCAAGGGTTCGGCAAAGCCTGGAGGCACCCTGGGTTTGTCTGTTCAGGTTGGCAGTGGCCCTCCTGGTTCTCAGTGATACGTCCTTCCCATCACCTGTCCCCTGATCCTTATTTTAACTGAAGAGGCCAGTCTGGCCTGGCTTAAGGAAGCTTCCTGTGCTCCCAGGTTAATTGCTCTCTATCATGGAACGCAGAACCAGTGAGCTCTTACACACCATTTGTAGCAGCTTCACAAAGCTGCAATCCCCAAGGTTGCTTTCAGGAAACCACAACCCTTAAAACTGCTTGAAATCTGTAGTATAAATGTGTACTCACAGAGAGAGCAGTGTCAGTTATTAGCTAAATTACCTAAAGTGGTAGAGCTGAGAAGGCAAAGGGGACTCTAAAAGCAAAAGCAGAAGGCAGGCATTGAAACTTAGATAAATTCGAAACTGTACTGCAGAACTCCTGCTTAAGAGGATTTGGCATCTATACTGTCATCCTTTCTTTCTAGCATTTAAAGATGAGCCATTAATTAAAACAGCCAGAGTCTTAATTATAATAATCCTTTGCTATCATCTTAATGCAGTGGTTGTTTGCACATAGTGCCCTTCAGTGTCTTGGAAGGGGGCCACTAGTGAAAAAAATATCTGAAGAACAAATTAAGTTACCAAAACAAAATGGGACTGTGGTGAAGGTTGGCACGTCTTCCGTGGGCAATGCCAGGAGGTGTGAGGAACGAGGGCACTTGCACATTTGGGGCCCTGGATTGTCCCCTCTGGAAATAGTATGGCCGACTGAAGTCCTGTAAACACTTTGTGTTCCCATTCTGTTCAATGGACCGTTCTTGCACGTAGAACGGATGTGATTGCACTATTGTGACACGTTATCACCCATGGGTGTGATTGTTGAGGTGCTGAAGGTGGCATCTTCCTTGCGAGCTTTCTACCAGCAGAAGTTAGAAGGCACTTGGAGATGGTTGGTCATGCCAGTTTTGGGATGCCCTTTAGCACTGTGCACTGGTGACCCCTCATATCCTTCCAGGCAAGAGTGGGGAGAAGGTAGATCTTTAGATATTTGGGACCAACTCCCAGAGGCTCTGCCAGCGTGGCCCCTGTGCAGGAATGGAGGAATGATGACCCAACACATCTGCAGATCTGTTTAACGTCCAGCCCTGGTTCCTTCCCGTCTTGACTTCTGTAACGCGCTCTACATGGGGCTACCCTTGAAGACGGTCCGGATACTTCAACTGGTTCAAAATAGAGCTGCCAGGCTGCTGACGGGGACTGGACGTTATGTTCACATGACTCCAGTTCTTCGTCAGCTTCACTGGCTCCCCATTGAAGTCCGGGCCCAATTCAAGGTGTTGGTGATGACCTATAAAGCCCTAAATGGCTTGGGTCCTGGTTACCTGAAGGAGCGCTTACGTCCATATATGCCCAGTCGCCCCCTGAGATCAGTGGGAGAGGCCCTCCTCCGGGAGCCCTCAGTGAAGGAAATTAGGAGGGTGGTTACTCGGAGGAGGGCTTTCTCAGCAGTGGCGCCTAAGTTATGGAATGCGCTCCCCAGAGAGGTCCGCCTGGCGCCGTCGTTATTTGTTTTTTGGCGCCAGGCGAAGACCTTTTTATTTAAGCAGCATTTTAAATGTTAATATCATTGAATTTTATTTGGCCAGGGCGGCTTATTTTATTCCAATGTATATATTTTAATTATTGTTTTAATTTATTGTGTATTTTATTATGTTGTGAGCCGCCCCGAGGCTACGGCAAGGGGCGGCATAGAAATGTTTTAATAAATAAATAAATAAATAATTAAGCAACTTTATGTGCCTGTGCCTTTACCAGGGTGTAAATCCATGCAGGTCAGGCAGGATCACACTCAATCTTCTAAAATCTCTATTGCTTATTCATTTTTTCTTTACCTGCTTTATCCTTTATCCTTCATTGTCCTATTGCTGAGTATTTGGTGCTCATTGAAACTTTTGCAGTGCTGTTGCTTATGAATTTTGCTTGTGCTTGTGACTGACAATTGAAAGGAAGGTTGTGTGTGTGTGTGTGTGTGTAAAGGTTGACTGTAGGATTGATGATGGCAGACCCATGAAATCCAAAGCAACCACCTAGTAGCTGACACTGATTTCATTATTCACGAGTGGACAGAGAAGGTGTGACACACTGAACTGATCACAGCGCCCCGGCTCATGAACATTGGTGTGAAGTACACAGGTGTTAAAAGTTGTAGGTCAAACAAACTATGGATAACGGAAGACTCCAATTCCAATTTTGCAATTGGGAGCATAAACAATGTAAAGACTTTGTTTTTTACCTATATTCATTCCCTTTGTACAACAAGTTCCTATAATTTTAGCATCAGTGCATCTAAATGGATGCTTGGATTTTACTTTTTCCCCACTTCATTTTGGGGTCTGATTATGATAAAATCTAATCCTGATAGTGGCAGTGCAGCATAAAATGATTCCACAGAATAGTATAATTGTTGTTGTTGTTATTTTGTGGATCAGAAAATGTACCCAGGTATTTTGATCTTGCAGGAGAAGCAATAGGTTTTAATCACTGTTTTGTGCTGTCTTAGTAACAATGAGTCTTTGTTGAGCTGTCCTGCACCGAAGCTCTATTTAATAGCTAATTATTGGCCCATATATGAAGAAGAGAGCCTGGCCAGACAGATGGAAGGAGTTGTTTTAAGAAGGGCTCACAGGGGTAAAAAGACATTGCTGCTACTTGTCTGGCCTAAATCCACTAATCTGATGTTATTATTAGCAATAAGGAGCAGCGGCTAGGATAAAATCTCATTCTTTGTAAATGTCATTTAAATAGGACTCCAATGTTTTTTTTTCTGCAGTCAAGTTGACAGGCTTTAGTCAAATAGTTGAACACTTTATTTGTAAATGTAGAATGGGTAAGAAAAGAAACACTTTAGTTCAGCAAGTTCTTAAGATGTCAGCTTACTGGTATTGATTAATCATTCAGCCAGTGGCAGCTGCTGCTTTATTAAAAGTGCAGCCTTTCCATATGGAAGGACGGTATCTGATGCAGGAAAAGTTTGCCAGTGATTCACCTTTCCTTGCAGGATAGCATAAAAAGCAACTGGATAAATATTCCCGGTATTTTTACTTCTAAACCAACATGCACTTGAACCATAGCATCCATTTCTATTCATTTCAGGGATGAAGGAATACACATTGGACCCACATGCTGTTAAGATGGGTTGCACTTACAACACAAATACCTAAATGCCATTGTAGGGAGTGGCAGAGAGGGCCACAGAGACAAGGAAGTGACCCTGTCTCCCTTGTATGATCAGCCCCAAAGCTACCTGTATGAAACCCTGCCTAGACCAGCCTTCCCCACTCTGATGCACCCTGGAAGTTTTGGACTTCAGTTCTTATCATGCCCAGCCAGCATGGCCAGTTGTCAGAGATCCTTGTCATGGTAGCCCAAAAGTTCTAGAGGACACTGGATTGGAGAAGGCTGGCCCAGCAGTTAAATATTAGCACATTGCACTGTCCTGGAGAGGAACATAAAAGGGCTTCTGGCTTGATTCTGGCTTTGGCTGAGTAAAAGCTGTCAGGTGTATTTCAGCCTGACCCATGGCACTGACTTCTGGCTCTCTCCTTGGCTCCCGTCCCTGCTTGTTCTCTGGCTCCAGCTTCCTAGCTAACCTTTTGGCTCTGGATTCCTACTTCCTGCCACATCCTGGAAAGTAGCATGTACCCCAGGGGACTGTTGCTAGCTGTGTGTGTGCGTGTGATTTCCAAAGAGGGCATTAAAGGTGATATTGCCCATTGGCTGTCTGCATATGTGCAGACTAAACTACAACTCACAGCCTTTGCAGTGTTACCCTTGTTCCTATGTGGATTGGACTAGAGTGTTCATGTGATATTCAAGAATGACACAAAAACGGAGCATACAATCCATGTTAATGTTAAACACTTCTAGGGCCCAGTCATTTCTATGGGAGGTCTGCCTATTAAGCCATCCTGAGATATTTATATAATAGGATGGCATATAAAAGCTTTTAATAAATAAAATAAATAAAATTATATACAGGTTAGGGCTGAAAATTAGAGCTGAAAATTAGAGTATGTTAATAGCAGCTTCATGCAATATTTTTCTACATGGATATTCCCTTCAGTGCAAGGCACAGGTTTGGTTCATGCATCAAATGAAAATGTGGTTCAGCCATCACAGACAGAACCCTGTTGGATAAAACATTAATGTATTTCAGCCCTGGTAAACATTTATCAACTGTGTTGAGCCAGAACATGGTTGTAGAGTTTTCTTTTAGCTGGCTAAACTGAGGATATTACTGAAATTCAGTCTTTGACATACAGTGAGAAATCAGATCCAAAGGGCTTTAGGGAATCGCTGTGAAGCAAGAGTTCTTGTTGCCCTGCGTGTTTGGCGAGAAAGAGGATGGTAGATTCTGGGCTCAGTATTAAATCAGTTGCGTGCTGTGCTGAAATTGTGGTTTGTTGCAGACCTGCCTCTTCCCCAGCATTGATGAAACTCGCAACTGTGTAAGTGAAGGCTGAAATTGGACTGTAGCATTGGTGAGATCTTGGTCCTGGCATCTCCCGAGAAGCTGAACAATCAGAATTGTTGACTCAATTCTGTCAAACCGTTTAAGGTAAAATGTGATCTGCAGCACTTGAAAACTCTTGTAAATTGTTGTCAAGTGGTTTCACTCCATGCTAAATATTTACTTGGTAAAGAAGCCTGCTAGCAAGTTGCCAAATGGAGAATTAGAATCTCTGCCTGCTGCTTGTTTGTTGCATGCTGTAGTGTGATGCTGTGTGTCTTGGCTTTCCGTGGCAGGAGCAAAGTACAGCTCAGCACTTCCAAGGAACTAAGTTCTTAGATCAGAGCAGCGACAAACCCTTTAAATCCTAAGAACCCAGAAGGACAGTTCAAACCAACCCAGCTCCCCCACCCCCGCATGATGGTGATGATGGCGATTTGGTCTGCTGGCAACATAGTAGGAAACAACACACATATATGTCATAGCAAACATGGAAGGCACACATGCTCAAGTTCTCTCCAGTCTCTTTAAAATATGAATGCACAGCAATTAGGAAAGGACTGCAGCTTCTCTTGGATGCCTAAAAAAGGACCAGGCATCTCTTAATTTTCATGCTCCCACATCTGTTGTGATGCACGTGTGTTGCGATTCTAGGTGCAAGCTCTGTTCTTTGAAAGTAGCATTATGGAGGCATATGGCTGTCCTTGGGCTTGGAGGTATACAAAGCAGCCATTTAAATGTTTGGAAATGAATGATATTAATTGGCTGAGTTTTGATGCTTCTCCCCCCCCCCCCCCAACAAATCGCTGGCACTGCTGTAGCAATTTGTTGGGGAGGGGGACATTAAGGTTGTAATACCATATGTACTTACCAGGCATAGATCTGTGCTGTGGGGTGGGAAAGGTGGGGGACTGCCAACCAGTGGACTTACACTGGCCAGTGATGGATCCCACAGAGCCCACCCCCTGCCCTCCAGAGCAAAGTTGCTCAGCCCCCAGCTTCTCACATGCCTGGTTTCTCTTGCATTGGTTCTCACTCCATTTGTAGCTCACCTGGAGAAGTGCTCAGTGCATGAAGGAGCAGCCTCACCTGGCTGGGGCTTGCATGGGGTTGAGTCCCTTTCTCCGTGCAAGCATGGAGCTCCCTTCCCTTCCCTGCATGGGATGCAGTCCCATGCATGGCACGGCGGGCCAGGCTGGAAGTGGTCTGTTCTTCTCTTGAAGGCTGGGCATGTTCGTGCATGAGGAGTTTGGCTGCTGGGTGATGAGAGGACAATGCAGTGGGCATCTTCAGACTGTAGTCTTCTATAGTTATAAACCGACGGGGTTGTCCTCTTTCCTGAAAACCATTGGCAAGCTTTGGATTGAAGGTAGGATAGAAGCCAACGCTGGTTCGGTTTTGGTTCATTCCCTTCCCTTCTCTGAGTGACCCACTAGAAA